CCCACGACCAAAGACAACTCTCCACCCCCAAAAGGAACCAGTCTGTTCAGAAAACAAGCTCCAACACATAGTCCAAAGGAAAATAACAAAACAAAGAAAACCCAAACTTTACTTGCATTTAGCCATTAATAAATAATTTACAGTATATACACGCGGTGACACTCCACACAGGTCGCAGACATGAGGACGCAGTGAGGGGGTCCCCACTTCCAAGCAGAACGCGATCAAACACAACCAAAATAAAGTGCTTCACTTTTTACTTCCAACATAGGGACCATCTAATCTCCAGCAGGGTCCTCGTTCTGCCCGCCTGCCTGCCCAGGTTTGGCAGAGAAAGGGGACCTCTTGGAGGGGGAGGCAGGGACATGTCCGCAGCCTCCTGGGCCAGTGTATGAGAGGTCCCTGGGGAACAGCAGAGGGGCTGCCAGGGATGCGGGCGGGAAGGAGGGCGGGGGCGGGGAGGGGCCACGGGGCTTCTGGGAGGATGGGCCTCTGGGGCTTGGCAGCACCTTTGGGAGCAGAGCCTGGCCGGTGTTGGTCCCTGGGGTTCTCTGGAGCAGCAGCAGAGGCGGGACGGGTTCCAGGCTCCTTAGACGGGGCAGCCTGGGCTCCCAGCCACAAGTCTGTCCTGGCTGTGTGGCCATGGGGGACCCCAAGGGGGAGACCCTCCCAGGGCTGCTCAGGGCTGAGGCTTACTAAAGCCTGCTCCTCTCCCCAGAATGCAGACCTTGGTGGACAGGGCGGCGAGCGAGGCTCTGGGGGGCAGGTGGGGAGAGAGCAGAGGATCAGGGCAGGCCAGCTGGCCCTATCCACTGGCCTCCTGCCCAGGCGCTGTGGTCCAAGCACCCCTCCCCAGCCCAGGGGCTCTTGCCATCTACTGGAGAGGAAAGAACAGAAATCAAGGGGTATTTCTCTGTTTAGACATTTAGAAGCTCGACTCCCTAAGCACAGTGGGGAATGGGGGGTGGTGGGGGGAAGGGGCCAGAGAAGGGCATCTGAGCCCACGAGTGGCATCGCTCCGAGCACATGCCCACACGCATTGTCCCCCCGCCGGGGGCTCTCGAGGCAGGGGCCGGGTAGCCAGGGCTGAGCCCGCGCCCACGGCAGGCAGGCCCCAAGAGGGTACAACCTTTCCGCCAAAGGGTTAGTATATCAACTTGCTAAAGATTCCAAGCAGTGCCCTAGGGGTGTCCTAAGGCCCCGAGGGGACAGGAGGCCCTGCCTGGGGGTCCAGCCTCGGCCCCGCCGGCTGAGTGTGTGCGAGTGTGCTCGTGTACGAGTGTGTGCGTGCGGCAGGCGCGTGCAGCAGTCGGCCGGGCCTGTTCAGTGCATTGCAAGGGGGTAGGAGGAGCGGACTCTGACCTTTCCCAGTGTCTCTCGCAGGGTGGGGGGGGTCCAGCCTGAGGGGCTCGGTTTTGCACATTCACACGGTGGGGCGAGCGGATGGGAGCAGCTCTCCCCCTCACATAGCTTTACTGTCACAGACATCACAGCACCACAACCTTGTCCTAGGCCCTAGAGAGGGTGAGGGGCCACCCCGCGCCCTCAGCTCTTGCCAGCAGGTAGCCCAAGGCAGCTCTGAGGTAACCGTCCCGTAGCTCACCGGCCAGCAGCTGCCTCCGCTTCTGACCCCCGCAGAGACCGTGGGGCCACCGGGAAGCCACTAGTCCCTTGTGCGGCCACCGGCCAGCTTGGGGACAGGCAGCGCGCCTCCCTCTCCATGCTATGCAGCAAGGACCTCCAGGAACCCAGGGAGCAGGCCGAGGAACAGGAGACTGCCCGGGAGGAGCCTGGGGGCCGGGGATAGCCCCTCAGTGGCTGCCCGGCCCGGTGGCTCCCGCGTCCTCTCGTACAGGTGCAGCTTGTCCTTGTTGGAGTGTAGCATCTTGACGTCCTCCAAGGCATAGTAGGCCGCCAGCGTGAAGTTCACGTCCCCTGTGGTGAGCAGGTCGAAGACGCAGGCCTGGTAGTACAGGTCCTCCACAGGCAGCCTCTCCTTGCACTTGGCCACGGCCGTCTCGTACGGGAAGGTGTCGGGGGCTGCGGGCGCGGGGCTGGCGGCCTGGGGCCTGCGGGCACCGGGGCCCTGGTGGCTGCCGAAGGCCTGGAAGTCTATCTGCTGGTTGAGGGGACAGCCCCGCAGGCAGAGGTAGAGGCCCTGGCTGTCCCGGTCCTCCACTGCATTGACCACCTCCTCCGGCATGCGGACCGCGAAAGTCAGGTAGCGGCCGACCTGGCGAACCACGATGGTGGTGCCGATGTACTTGGCCTGGATCTCTATGTGCTGGCCGGACACCTTCTCCGTGATCCTCAGGCTGTTGGCCCCGTGCTTGTCCCCGCCGTTCTTAGAGCCGTCCGCAAAGGCGGCCGGGAGTTCGTCCATCTCAGCCTGGTACACCTTCTGGTCCACGCACTCCTGGAAGTTTTTGAAGATGATGGTGAGCTGCCGGGAAGAGGGCAGAAGGGGGTTAGCGGTGCCTGCAGACGAAGCGGAAGGAGGCTTGTCCCCACGTTGACGATGCTTTCAGGAGGGACGAGAGGAGCCCTCAGGGTGCCCCAGACCGTCCCGTCCCCACGTTGCTAACAGTCTGGTGCCACCGGCACTATTATGCTTACTATTTCTCTTTAAAACAACTTTTTTTTTTTTTTTTTACTTAAAGTAAAAGAACGTGAACTTTAGATGATTGCCCTACATAGAAAACCAGCTCATTTGCCATATATAATGGTGAACCATAAAAAGGCAAGCACAGCTCATTAAAAATAAAAGGTCATTATCCATTATGACGGGCTGAATAAAGGCCCCCAGGATACCGACCCTAATCCCAGGAACCTGTGCATGTGACCTCATGTAGCACAAGGCTTTGCAGAGCGGGTTAGGTGAAGGGTCCTGAGATGGAGATGCTATCCTGGCTTATCTGGGGGGCCCTACATGCAGCCACAAGCGCCCTCATAAGTTGGAGGTAGAGGGAGATCAGACCACAGAAAGGCGGCTGTGTTTCCACATAGGCAGACAGTCAAGTGGTGCGGCCAGAAGCCGAGGGGTGCTGGCAGCCACCGGACGCTGGAGAATGGATTTTCCCCTGCAGCCTCCGGGGGACCAGCTGACACCCTGTGAGGCTTGTCTCAGAATTCTCGCCTGCAGAGCTACAGGAGAACAAACAGACGTCTGTTTGAACCACTTAGTTTGTGGTATTTGTTACAGAAGCAGCAGGAAAGTCCTATGGCCAACAAATCTCACACCGCCCCTGGACCTCCTGCAGAATTCCTGAGAAAGGACTGCAAGCCACTGGCTGAACATAACAGCAGGTGGAAGCGAAGAGATGGAGGCTCAAAGAAAGAACAAGGGGGCAAATCCATGCAGACAGGCAGAGGCCACTTAGGTTGCCCTAAGGGGCCACCCAGCAGGGCCTTGGAGGGGAGCAGGAGGCAGAGGGAGAGGGGAAGATGGGGGGCTCCAGGCTGACTGCAACTCCCTGGCGTGGGCCGGAGCGGGGAGGCCCATTTCCACGGGAGCCTGCGGCCAGGGGGCAGGGCTGGCACGAGTCCCTGGAGCAAACACAGACAACCAATCAGCTGTGTTTGTCACTGTCCTCCTGAGACCCAGGGACCCAGGAGCACTTGCTGGGTCAGTGTGCCAGGTACCACATGTATTACTTCTTGTGGCACTGCAGGGGAGGGTGACATTACCTCCGATTGACCGATGAGCAAACTTGGGCTCAGAGAGGTAAAGCGACTTGCCCAAGGTCACACAGCCAGCAAGAGGCAGAGCTCGGATTCGTCTTTGGTTTCCAGCCCCAAACCCACAGGGCCAGGAAGTAGGATGGAAGACAGACAGCCAGGGAGTGAGTGTGAGACCCCATCCCATCACCCTGGAAGAGATGTCCGACTGCTCTTAACCTCCGTAACCCTAACTGCGAGGGCTGCATGGGCTGGAGACAAGGGCGAAATGGGGAGAGAAACCACCGCCCCGCCCCCGTTCCGGCTCCCAGATGCTACCTTGTGCCTCTAAGGCCACTGGTCCCCTGGACCAAGGGCACCGGGGGCTCTGTGGGGGTGATGCAGGATGTCAGAGGTGGCCTCAGCCCCTCCCTCTCGCTTTGAGCCCTCTGCATCGAGTCACCGCATCGAATCACTGAATCTCATGGAACTGCCCTGGCTCTACCATCCCCGACCTATAAAAAAAAAACCACCCCAAAACGGCGACTTCACATGGTTCCACGGCCTCCTGCTTCCTTTTCTCCGTCCATGGCTCCTGCCCTGACGTGGAGGCCGCCGGCAGCGGGCCGGGAGGTGGGGCAGCCAGGGTGGTCTGGGCAGTGGGTGGTCCTGTCACCGGAGGAGGGGGCACAAGATGAGGGACTCTGGTGTCCCTGCCTGGTGTGCAGGGCCACACAGACACTCTGGGGGGCGGGGGGCTGCTTTCCAAGTGCCATTCGTCTCCCTGGAACAGGAAAGGCTGGTTTTGCTCTAACCGCCATCGCTCGTGGAGACAGTCTCCTGGAAGGCTGACAGGCGGCTTGACTCTTCCTGGCACCCGTGCCAGGGACTCAACCACAAGTAACAGCACGAAGGGGGCTGTCGAAAGCCGGGCGGCTGGCTGCCAGCAGGGCCACGGGTGCGGCTGCTGCTCCCCTGCCCTTCCCACAGGGGCCTTGGTGCTCCCACCATGCAGAGCCCCGGCTTCATCAGCTGTTTATGGGGCGCCAACTACCTGCCAGGCCTGGTGCGAGGGGCTGTGTCCCTGCAGAATGAAACAGCCCAAGACCCCTGTCCTCATGGCGCTCACACTTTGGGGGGCGGGGGGCACAGACCGAGCAGATGAATTGTGCAGCATGGGAGTGGTTAAGTGCGAGGGGTCGAGGGGATGGGAGGCAGAGACCTGAGTGCCTCTGCTCCAAGTCTCGGTTCCCTCACCTGTAAAATGGCGTGCGACAAGCATGGCTGGAAGGAGGGAGACGAAACAGGGGGCTGGACACGGGGCAGTCCCATGGGGGCGAGAAGTTGGCTAACTGGTCAGCCTGGGCTGGAAAACACCAGACCTCGGTTGTGGAGAACAGAGGGCTGGGCTGGGCTGGGCTGGACAAGCCAATATCATGGGAAATGGGCAAAGGCCTCTGGTTGTGAGGGGAGGAGAGTCAAGTGGGCAGGAATCTGGCAGAGGGCTCTGGGGGTGGGGTGGGTGGGACAAAAGCTCCAGTCCCCCCATCACCTTGGAGGTCAAAGCCGCCCGGCTTCTCTTGCTTTCCTGGGGGGTCCCAGGCTGTGGCCCCCTCCAGTCCTTGGGGGCAAGCTCAGTGCAAGGACTTGCAAGAGGTCTTCCCCAATGCTCTGGGCACCGCAGGGCCCCCCAGATCCTGCTACCCCAGAACCCAGCACCCCCCTGCCAGTCTTCATTCTCCATGATTAGCCCGGAAGCTATGGGAGGGAGACAGCCCTGAGCACAAAAGAGGTGTTTGGTAAATGTTTGCTAAATCAGTGAATGAACCCCCCCCCCACACACACACACACACCGGAGGGGCGGAGGCCTACGAGAACAGGCAGGGGCAGGCCACAAGCCCCGGAAACCAGCCACAGGTGTCTCTTTCCATAAGGCTCCAGTCTGCCCTGACACCTGAGACTGACCCTGTCACTGTGGGTCTCCGGCATCGCTGTGTGCTGCCTCCTGGCTGATGGGGACACAGCAGATGGTGGCTGAGCTCTCGGCCTGCTGCGAAGATGACAGCGGCCCTAGGTCACAGCAGAAAGGGGCTGGGTGGGTCAAGCTCTGCTGCGGAGCCCTACATGATTCTGGAAACGGGGATAGGAAAGGAGGCGAGCATCTTACATCTCTGCTGGGGGCAGGCCTCAGCCCCAGGGCCCAGCAGCGACCTGGAACAAAGCAGGCATTGGAAAAAACGGAACCAAGTGAAGGAAAAGAATGCAAGAATGCATGAATGAAAGAATGAATGATCCGTTTGGTTTTCAGACAGCATCGCTGGGCTCAGGGTCCCAGTGTGTGTCAGCAGAGAGCAGAGGGTGGTATTATGTGGGGTTCTCAGCCCAGGCACGTGGCCCCGGCCTGCAGGCTCCAGCCTCCCTGGTCACTAGCCATAGTCCCTCCGTTGGCTCTATTATCACGTTTGGTGCTCTCACCACCCTGGGTCAGGAGGGGCAGGATGGGACAGGGAGGCGGAGCTCCCCTCCAGGAGTGTGTTTGCTGTTGGATTAAGAAGCTATAGCCTCAGGCTCCCCGAATTCATTTATCTTGGCTCTAGGCCGGGAGGTGGGTTGGTGAAGGAGTTGCCGAGAAGGCAGCTGGGTCCTTGACATGGGCCCCCCTCAGATGGGGACAGGGCGGAGAGTATGCCAGCCATGACTGTGCTGCCCACTGGGCTTCACGGCCTGGTGCCAAGGGCCTGTGAGGACATCCACAGGGTAAAGGCCTGCTCCTCTCCTACCCATCAGTTGGTCCCAGAAAGAGACCCCCTTCGGGCATGCAAGGGCCACTGGCGCAGAGGGAAGTGGCAGGAATTTTCCTGGCTGCCAGGTCACCTCACTGTCCTCCTGTGGGGCGTGGAGGGATGGAAGGAACAAAAACACCCTTGTGGGCCAGCCTGGCACCCTTGCAACATGCTGTTCCTAGGAAAACAGACCCGCTGCCAATGTGGAAACCCCAGGGGCTCTGGTGGGCTGGGCCCTGAGGAGGCAGAGGTGTCCCCATCGCCTGGACTCTGAGAGGCCACCAGCGGCCCTCTGGCTGGGTATGAATGTGAGGTCACAGGAGCAGGGGAGGAGAACCTGGGACGTCCCATTGCCTGGGCCATGCGCCACATCGTGGCTACCTCTTGCCGTGGCCATGTGAGCAGGGCTTGAGTCCTGCCACCCAGATGCTGAGGCCTCCCTGGGTCAGAAGATGACCAGTTCTCAGCAGCCTCTGGGGCTCCAGGTGGCAGCTGCCTCACATGGCAGTGAGAATGTGCTGGGCTCTGGAGTCACCCGGCCCAGGTCCAGTGCGAGCTCTGCTGGCTGCATGTCGGTGGGGGGGCCGCTTTGCCTCTTGGAGCCTCAGGTTCTGGATGTGTCAGCAGAGCTGCCTCAGGCGGGCAGGACTGGCCAAGGGAGGAGGGAGAGGCTCAGGGGGCTCGGTGAGCTGCGTCTCCGTCCTCACTTGTTCCAACTCCAGCCCTTGCCAGACAGCACGGCCCTCTCTGCTTTGATGCTGGGGCTTTCCCGTGTCACTGAGGGGCAAAGACAGCAGGCCGGGCTGTACCCAAAGCCCAGGCTGCCCCCTGCGCCATCCCACAGCCCTGGCCTCCGACCCGGTGGCGTCCCCAACACCCCCCATGCACCAGAATACCGGGGGCTTTAAAAAAAGAGCATGTCTGACCCCATCCAGAGATCTAGCATCAGACCAGCCTGCAGGTAGCTCCAGAATCACTATTGGCTCGGTTTGTAAAGTGCGGCCACAAGGAGAACCCCTGGGCGGGACTGTCACCGCCAGGAGGCTGCTGCGCCCATGGGCCCAGGGCGGGGTTTGCTCCCACTGGACTGGAAGCTCCTTGAAGGCAACCCTGGAAACAGGCTCCTTCTGTGGGGTCTTAACACACAAATACAGTTTGGGGGCAAGAAAAGAATATTCCAAAAGTTTGAAACTGAATGCTCTATGTTGTGTTTCTTTTTGGGTTATAACCCCAGTAAGAAAACCATTTGACATCCAGACCCACTGTGTGCATACGTGTGCATAATGCAAATGCTTGTGCACACAAACAACAAAAACTGGGTTTCCTTAAACACTTTCCCTTAGCACGTACAGTGCATTCACAAACTGCCCTTTAGGTATGCCAGTTTATGCTACCCAGCCCAACACGCCTCCCCCCCAACCCCCCCCACACACAAATATATAGATCACTCTAGGCAACATTAGGAATCTCTAGAATATTCCTTTCTAAATAGTCTACTCATTTGCTGAAAATAAGAACACGGTGGGTGCAGGAGGCATCTGGGTCGGGTTGGTGCTGAGTCTGGGCCCTCATGACAGCAGGGCCTGCCTGGGTGGTGGGACCCTCCCTGCGGGGTCATCCCAGCCTCAGCCTCAGCCTTACCTTGCTGGTGGCGGTGGCGGCCGAGCCGGGCAGCACCGGTGTGTTGGTGACTTGCACGTTCAGATAATTATTATCGATGAGGGGCCAGGCGCCCTGCACCTTACAGGTCTGGAAGCGGTCTGTGAAAGTCCTGAGGTGTGGGTCCCCAAAGAGGCCGCAGTGCGTGTAGTTGGGGGCAGCCGAGTGCTTGTGGAAGCTCTTCTCGTAATGGCAGATCTCGGGACTGTCGGAGCGCTCCTGGCTGTCCCCGGGCGGCGGGAGCGTGCGCAGGCGTGGCTGGGACGTGGGGCCATCCTTGGAGCAGTTGTGCTGGCTCATGAGGTCCTCTATGCCATGGACCGCCGAGTGGTAGGCCAGGTCGCCCCGGCAGGTGCGGGCCGTGCGTCGCGTGCACAGGGCGTAGGTGCGCAGCGCTGCGCAGAACTCGGGGGCGTCGTCCGAGGCCGGGGCGTGGCCGCCCGCCGTGGCGCTCCAGAACTCAGAGTTGCACTTGAGGATCTTGCAGGGGGACGTGGCTGTGGAGAAAGGAAGGGACACGCTGTGAGGGTGGGCGCACGCGTAAGGACACCCTGTGTGAGAAGGCACCACCCACACTGCATGTTTGCGCACAGAGCTTAAAGCCCACCCCTCCCGGGCCTTCCAGGTTCTCCTGAGCCTATCTTGACCCCAAGTGGCCAGGCATGCTGCAGTGGCGGTGGCCCCTGCCCCAGCTCCCAGCCTGTGGGAAGGAGTGGTCGCTGTTTCTGGACAGCAGTACTGTGGGGGCCGACAAGTCACCTTTGGGCCATTGACACCTGTTAACACTTTCACAGCCATCCTCAAGAATTTGGCAGAAGCAACAGATATTGGGCAGATAATGAAGCCCACTGTTCAATGTGTGTCCCAAGCTTTGCGACTGTGTGACCATGTGCACATTTCTTAACTTCTCTGTGCTTCATTATACTCATCTAGAAAATGGGTAATAAGCGACCGTGTGAGGTTGCCGAGAGTGTTCAAGGACTCAGAGGGGCACCGGCACGGAGCTTCAGCTCCATGGATGTCGGCTAGCGTGATTACTGTGTTAGCCCTGGTCACAGAAGGCCTCGTTCCGGTCACCTTGTCTGCATAGCTCCATCCCTCTCTATCCTGATCAGGAGAGCAAGTTGGGAAGCCAATGCGAGTGATAACTTTGGATTTGCCCCAATTCGTGTGTGTGTGTGTGTGTGTTTTCATCACTCACAAGCTTTGCGACATTAGTGACAGTTACAAATGGCCATGCCTGAGAACCATGGCTTTAACAAATCTGATTTTCAGGGTGTCCCCAGCTGCTCAAAACCCTGGGACCCTGCACATCTTCCTAGGAGTTTAAGAGAAGGCCTTAGCACCAGTCTAGACGGAGAAGCTGTAGGTCAGGATAGCTTGCAAGAGGCCAGTGAGTGTGATAAGCTGGGACGGGAACCCCGCCTCCCTCCCCACACCTCCCCAGGCGGTGACACAGCTCTCCAGGGCCTGTCCGCCTCAGGTGGACATGCATGGTGCTGTCATTCCCTGGGGGTCTTGGGGAAGAGCATGGGGATGCCAGGGCTGGACAGTCCTCCTGGGTGGTGAGATGAGCCCCCCCCCCCCCCCCCCGTGGAGTCATCCTGCCGCCCTGTGTCCACTCCACTAAGTCACAGGCTGAAGTCCTCCTCCTGTCGGGGCCCCGGAACGTAACCTGGCCCACCTGGCCCGGCATCAAAAGGAAAAGCTCTCAGCTGGAGCATTACCTGCCAAAGAGACCCCAGAGGGGCTGATTTTTACGTTCAGTATCTTTAATAAAAAAGCCCGAGACCTGAACTCCAGGCAGTAAACCTTGGCCTTTTCTGATGTGAGCGTCCAAGAAGCGAAGAAAGCAAAGTCTGAGAGTTCGAAACAGATCTTATTGCAGCTTGTGCGAGCAGAAAGAGCAAACCAGCTTCACAGAGCGAGCCACCCTGGTGATTTCAGCGCGACAGAAGGCAGCCAGCTGCCCAGTTCCTGCTGGGCTCCTGCGGACGGCATAGTGGCTCCTTGGGCCCCCTGGCTGCCTCTCAACACATCCAAGACAGCCAGTACGCAGAGAGCCAGGGGAATCAAGAACCCGACTGGAAGTAGGAATTCTCCTGATCTCCCATTTCCATCTTAGCCGCTGTGTCCTCCGGCAGGGATGGCTGTCGGGGCCTCTGCTAACTCTTACACCTGGGGCTCCACCCCAGATGCCCCTGGAAAATGCAAAGGTACCACGCAGAACCTCAGGCTCCTTAGAAGCCCATTATGTATGTTTTCTTTGGACCCACGCCACTTGACACAGGACTTCCAGGATTAGCTACAGGGGACAAACAGAGGAGAATCCAGAGGCTGCAAAGACAGTGGCCCATTGGGGCAAAAGGTGGCGTGCAGACAATGGCTACAACATAGGTGGGTTCCCAGACTTCCTGGGGGGTGGAGTGGGCCCTTGGTGCTCAAGTTGGGGCCCCTGGTCAACCATCAGACCCATCTACTCCTGATTCATGCATGCAATGCGGGCCAGCGCTTCCTGCTTCTCTGGGCAATCGACTTTACCCAGAGCCCTACCGATCACTTTGTGACCAACCGCCATTATTGGCTTTTCAAGGTGCATCATGGAATTTTAGAACCTGGGGCCCGAGGGACAACAGAGATCACCAGTTTCCACCTCCAGCCAGCCTCCACGGCAGGAAACCTCCCTGTAGCACCCCTGCCTGGTGGAAGCCCGGCCTTTACTGCCACTGGAACTCTGCAGGGCAGGGCTGGACCCTCCTGCTCCAGAAATCTCCAGCTGGGAACCACATCTGCCTCCCAGGGACATTTACAGGGCCTTGATCCTTCTCTAGAGCTGCACAGAAAAGGCTCAAATAAAACCACCCTGTAAATATTGGACAGCCCCTTGGCTTCTCTGTGGTGCCTTCTTCGGCCTCACCATCCAGCCGCTCTATCGGCCTGGCTGAACTGTGTCACCCCTGACGTTCCAGCTCGATGCCACCTCCTGCCCGTGAGTTCCCCAAGAGCAGGGACCCCTCATCTTGGTCCTGGAATCCTTGGCTCCTACACTCCTCACTCCAAGCATCTGTGCCCCGGCACCCCACATATATAACATTTCATCTTGGGGGGGAGGTGGGCTCCAGACTGCCTCCCCGGTGGACTGAGACAGCAGAGAGATTTCTCACAACCACACAGCTTGTCTGACTTAATCACTGCCCTTTAAATAGCAGCCCAGCGCCTCTTAGAAACAGACGGAGGCAGGGAGTTTGGAGCACCAGCTGTACCAACCCCGGCAGGAGGAAAATATTTGCGCCATTAGCTGCTTTCAGGGACCTCCTTTGAACTGTTAATCAAGCCCAATCCTTCCGAATAATAGCCTGATTATTACCGCCTTGTTTGCATAACAAAGCAGCCCAATAAAACTTACTTCACTGTGCGCCCAGGGGGTGCAAGGGATGGGCCCCGAGAAAGGAGTCTTAGGAATGCGGTGAGCCGCTCCACAGCCCAAACCCAGGAATAAAGACAATGCAATTTGCCACCAAGAAAAGCCCAATAGACCAATAAATTACCCGCGTGCAAAGGGATTAGATCGGGTTTCACTTGCCGAGTAGGAGGGGTGGGGTGAGCCAGGAAACAGAAAAACCTGCCTTCTCTTAAAGGGGTATGGCTCGCTTCAACTACAAGCCCCAGGGTCAAATGGGTGGTATGTCTGACTCTGGCTCCCATGGTAACTGTCTGAATTTGTGACTTGCTGGAAGTTCTGGGTGCTACTACGTGCCAGGCATCGTGCTTGGTGCTGTTCCTGGAACAAACCCCCAATGAGCTCCTGTGCTCAGGTAAAGCTCAGTGAGCTATGGGACACCACCAGGAAGCAGAGCAAATATGTTTCATCTGAGTACTAAACCACAAGAGATGCAAGAATGGCGGCGTGAGAGGGTATCAAGGAAGCGGCATTTCAACCAGGTCTCGAAGGGCAGTGGCATTTGACAGGTGATGTCAGGAGAAGGTCCCAGAAACACAAGGGGGCTTCCAGCACAGCTGAGGTTGGCCGGAAGCAAAGTGCTAGCTGGTGAGTGTGCAGCCAGAAGTCTGCGGCCAGTCACGAGAACCCCAAGTGCCAGCTGTGCCCATTATAAAGCAAATGTCGCTCAGCTTCAACCCGCTTTCCTCTGCTCAGTGGGGCTGGGACTCTGGAAACCCTGTGTCTCTTGTCACCCGGATCCCTGTTAGATTCCACCACAAGAGGGCACTAGACGGAGAGGGGAAGGCTGTTGGTCTAGACCGGTTTACTTTCTGCCCCCAGGCTGTTTCATCATCACCCAGCAGTGGCTTTTCTCCTCCCCAACTGCTTGTGCCACTGCGAAGTTCCGAGACCAGGCAGGCAGGGGTCCCTCCTTTGCAACCTGAGCCCCCAAGCTCCTCTTACTGTCCCACCAGCCCCAGGGGTGGAAGTCACTTTCTGCAACTCTGCATGCCTCAGGGGTCCCTCATGGTCTTTTCAGTGTCCCCACATCCCTCCACCATTCCCTCTGTGGACACACCCCGTGTGGTTTTTGTTCTCCCGGCTGGGCCCTCGTCTAAGGCCTTCAGACTGAGCCCTGCGTCATTTTCACTAAGTACATGGCATGATCAGAACACTATTTTAGGAGGCAGTGTAACTTAAGAGGCAATGGCCTCAATTGGGAGAGAAGCAGGCAGAGCAGAGGGAAAGCAGCACGGATGGTGAGGGTCCCCTCTTAGCAACAAGCCGTAGCCCCGGTCCTGAAGGAGGTGGGAAAGCAGTGCCAGTCACGAGGGCCACCCTGCCTCCCCCAGCGAGACACCCTGCAGCACCAGCAGGAGCAACAGGCCACTTTCCACCCTCTCCTGTCCCTTAGGATCGACTCTAGGAGGGGACAGCAAATGGATGTAGGGCCAATATTTGGTAACCTCTGACCTGTGCAGTACTCAGGAGTCACCTTGCTTGAGAAATGCCTGAGGCTGCCTATCTGTGTCACTCCATCCATCAAATGTTTGGCATCAGCTACCGAAAGGAACACACCCAAGTGACAGGCTGGACCCCCCCCCACCCCAGGTACAGCTGACACTAACTTACTTAACCTACAAGCAGCCAGAATTGGTCACCTTTCCATAAAGGTATAAGAATGTCCCAGAGAACTGACCTCGCCCATGACAACCACGTGTCTCTCACCCCTTGAATGCACTGGGAAGTTTCTAGGGCTTCTCCCAGGAACTGGCCTACAGGAGAAAGACCGAGGCGAGAGGAAGTTTCTTGGAGACTCTCAAGCGACCTAGGAAAGGGACGCGGGTGGGTTGGGGGTTAACTTCCTAACAAGGGTAGGCAGAGGTGGCTGCATATCACTCACCCAGCTGAGGCAGGAGGAACTTCCCCCTTGTCACACCCAGCCAGGGCTGCTCTGCCCCAGCCTCCACACATGCCAAGTTGTTGCAAGAAGCTAACAAAGAGTGCCAGGGAGAAGGGCACACCTCAGCTTAAAAACTGGACACCCTTCCCCAG